CCGGGTCTCGGATCCGGTTATCCGCCAGGAGATCGATCAGATGCAGACCCGGTATGAGACGAGGATCGACCAGCTCTACGGTCTCTTCGAGATCATGGGAGCCGACAACCCGGTACTCATGGCGCAGTTGGACAAGCTGCGGGCTGATGGGGTTGTCGGATCGTCTGTCGCCGGGTCATCCACTAGGACGCAACCGCCGGTGCAGATGGACGAGGAGATGTTCCGATCTCTCGGGGTTGAGCCTCCTAGAGCCGGAGATTAGACGCCGGCGGAAGCATCAAACCGAAGACCCGGCAAGGAACACGTCCAAGACGATGGGGAGGAGGCTGGTGACGGGATCGACGGGATCGACGATTTAGATTTAGATTTAGATCTGTAGGGTTTTTATGTAAATTACAATTAATTTTAATTTCAATTTTAATAAATTTTAAATTGTAAATTATTTTTTTTTAATTTAAATTTTAATTCGAATTAATTTTTTTTTAATTTTCAATTATATTAAACGTCGTATAATCGTCGTAATAGCTTTATTAAAACCGTCGTAAATTCGTCGTAAATATTACGACGAATGTACGACTAAAATGTACGACGACAAATACGACGATTATACGTCCGTGCTTTACGACGATTTTACGACGAAATGATTAAATACTTTACGATTGATTTACGACGATTTATGCGTCGTACATTTTACGACGATCTTACGTCGACCATTAACGACCACTTAACGACGGTCCAGGCCAAGACCAAGTCGACGCAATTCGATGTAAAATCGTCGTAAAATGTACGACGCATTTACGACGATTTTGTTTCCCTCGATGTTACGACGAAACAAAACCGTCGTATATTATACGACGATTTTACGATGATTTGTCTATTACGACGATGACTTTACGACGATTTCGAAATCGTCGGTAGTCCGTCGTAATAGCACTATTACGACGAAATAACGACCATTTCGGCCGTTGTAAAATGATGTTTTTTTTGTAGTGTTTGTTAGTCATCCTTATTAGTGTTTCTATAAAAACATATTATCTTTATTTTGTTATTAATTTTGGTTAATTTTTTTCTTGTGCTTTTATGTTTTATCTGTTATTATTGTGTGATTTTAATTATAGTTTTACAATTATTTTTATCAATTAACATTGCAATATCAGAAATTTTAAAATTTTAAGTCATGTAAAAAATATCAAGCTTTTCTTATAAAGTTGTTATAAATTTTATATGTAACTACTCATCCATCTATTGTATATGTAAGAAAAGGAAATATCTAAAATATGTTAACTTAATTTCTCATTTTTTAGAACTTGTAGAAAGATTATTTAAATTTTTAATTTTCGTTTGAATTTCTGGTCTTCTAATATTCATTTATTTATTGAGTTCTTTATTTATAGTAATTTGTTCTTCTCTTTGTCCTATTTTATATGTTCACTACAAGAAATAGGCGGATTTCCATCGAAATTTTATGTCAAAATTATTTCGATGAATGTTACGATGAATTTACAACTAATACATTTTTGTCGTAAATTCGCTTTAAATTTTGAGCGTCGTAATTTTGCCGTAACATTACAACGGATTTACGACGAATTGACGGTAAAATATATTTTCGTCGTAAGTTTGATGTAAATATTACATCGAATTTACGAGGAATTGAATTTTACATAATTTCAATGTAATCTCGATGTAAAATAATTTTTGATGTAGATCTGATATAAATTTTCAATGCAAATTTGTTGCTACCCAAACAAGAATTCTATAAATACCCTCTCACTTCTAATATAATTCTACCAAAACAAAAAAAAAACTAACAAAGACACAATTTTTTTGAGTCTTTGAGTATAAATTTTACGAGTTTTAATTTAAGAAAAATTAAAATATCTATATATGATCTCGAATGTAGATGTATATTCGTGAAGATACAGAAAGAGGGTTGACGAAAGAATACAAGAACAGACTAGAAATATTCATGTTATGAGGCCGGCAATATGCAAACAACCATAGAAAGCGGGAAGATGTTTTGTCCTTGTCTTAAATGAGAGATAATCTCGCGTGCTCCTCCTGCATTATTAAAATTCTCAAAACTCATCGTTATTCAAATTAATTTGTTTTCGATTTATTTTAAAGGAAGAAAAGGTGAAAAAAGTGGTCAAATACTTGGGGGACCTTAGTAAAGAAAGATATTTACGAACCCAACCACCAAGATCCACGCCAACTCGGGTTAAACCATAAATAATCGGGTCCTCGGTCAAAAATGGAGAATTGGGACAATCCCTAAATATCAAAGATACTAAAAAAAAATTTGAGTAATTTGAATTTTGAAATCGCCATCGTCGTTGCCAAGTTTGTGTAGTATTCCCAAGGACAACTACGAGTGATTTGCTGCAACGCTCTAAATCAGGTTTGTTCGTCTTCGTCGTCTGTTTTCTACATTGTCTGGGTTGAACGACTTATCATTTAAAATTTTTTGTAGATGTGAAATCGATTTTGTGTAGAATCGAAATCGATTTATATGTGTTCTATTTCTCTCTATTCGGTTGGTAATTACAAAACAGGAGTCATGGATGGTATCGAAAGAGGGTTTAGGTATGATGAAAGTGGGTTTAGATATGCTAGGCAAGAACTGTACTCAGATTCCGATTCGTCGCAGGAGAAAATGGTAGAAGTAGCCGATTCGAAGATGAGTATAGTGGAGTGGCAGGACAGAACGGATACTACCGAAATTGAGGCTGAGGAGGAGGAGAACCAGCCATTGCCACCCGTGAAAATGTTCTTTGATCCCAGTCAATATCATAATGCTATAAAGTTGGGAACAAGATGTTACATCCACAAAGCTGTTGCGAAATTAGAGTCACTAGATCTTGAACCGGATGAGCTGAGATGGAATCAGTTCAAGAGGCTGTATGGCTAAGGAGGATCTTAGAGATCTTACAAGTCACAAGAGAGACTTCGTGTCCTGTGACTATCCATTGTGATAGTCAAGCTTGTATCGTTTACATGAAAGACCCCAAGTATCATAGAAGGATAAAACACATTGAAATTAAGAATAATTTCGTTAGAGACATTGTGGCAAAGAAAGAAGTGGTCCTTAAGTACATATCTACGCAAAGGATGGTCGCTGATCCATTTACTAAGCTTATTCCTAGAGATGTGTTCCTTGCACATGTTTGAGCGTTAGATTTGCGTAGAGTTTGATTTATGTACTAATGGAGCTTTGCTATTTGACATTGTATTTATGTTTGATATTTAATACATATTTAAAGATATTTCAAACATTTTACAATGGTCTCTTTTAGTTTGCATATTTACATATAAAATATTTGAGAAGTGTCCCCAAGTTAGAGATTGGTTCTCTCACAAGAATAATCGCCTTATATTTCTTTGTGAAAGGCTAAAACGAGACGTGATGAGTTTGGCGCTAGTGGAAGCTTGCTTTATAAAGCTTATCAATGTCGCCTTATAAGAAGTTAAGATGAGATATATCTGTTAAAATATCGATTATGACTGTCCTAAAATCATGAATACTTGGCATAGCTGGATAAGTATATAATCAGGCGCTAGAAAGCGAGCTGGTAGTAACTTGATCCATATAGCGGTGTTTGGTTTATCCAATGGACTATACTCTTAAAAGAAGAGTTCGTCGCTATAGCATGTGAGACATACCACATGTGCTAATACGACCATATAGGAAGCAAACTTTTTTTTATTATAATCTCTATCTCTTGCAATGTGATTTTCTATAAACCTATCTGGTTTCAAGATTACTCTTGAACATTCGGCTATGTTTTAAAGGGATGAACTAATGATTGCTACTTTAATATATTTTTCGACGGTGATAGAATAATTAGTCTTATGGGACAAGCTAGGAAAGCAGTTAGTTCAGATCCGATATACATGAAAAAGGAAGAGAAAACTATTTGCTTTTATATTGACATATGTGTTTGCTAGCCAGCCACTATATCACTTAATTGGAGTTTGCATATAGTAAACACATGATGTAAGAAACTGTCCAACATATGCTTTATGGATAAGATATGTTAAGACTGATATAAAAGGCAAATGAGTTTGGGGAACAGCAAGACATGATGAAATTTAAATATTTTTTTAGGGTTGTAGCTTGTAGCCTTATATGTATCCCTAACAGGTGCATAGTTTAGCTCCAAAGTGCAGGTGTATTCGCAAGGGTCACACGGTTCATTTGCCGTATGATTTCTGATTTACGATTTTCAAGCTTAATTTCTAATACCTTTTTAATGCTTGTTATGTTTTCTATTATGTGCGAGTGGGAGATATTGGTTTATTGTCGGTTTGCGCCCATGATTCGATAGTATATCGAACCGGTTTGATTAAACGAACAGTTATGAAAAATTGATTCAATAAAGGGTTGTGACTCTACAAATAGTGTTTTTTTAATAAATATATATATATGAGACATTGCAGAGAGAAGAAGAAGTCTGTTTACAACAGTTAGTGACTGTTGGTAAACAAAGAAGTTACAGAGGAGAAAAAAAATGTTTTTAGAGAGAAAAAACTTGGAGAGAACGAGCATTTGAACGGTGATAAGTGGTTGATTTCCATCTGTGATCTTTTCCCCGATCTCTGCGACCGTTTTCAGATCATATCAAGTCATATTCATCGCTAAACCGGACAAAAATATGTGTTTGGTTTAAACGTTTCCGCATAAAGTTCTTACAGTTTATCCCAGCATATCTTTTGTTTTCAGTTTTTTATATTTTTCTTGATGACATCTTTGTGGGAACAAGTCAAGTAAAACAATCATTGCAGCATACTCTGACTGTTTCTGATGCGTTTTCCTATTTTTTGGGTGTTTGGATAAATTACTATACATATAGTCTAACAATTGGTATCAGAGACAACTAAATATTTATAAAAAGGTATAAAGTAAATTTGAACAGAAAAGAGATTAACATTACTCTTAGAAATGAAATCACTATGAACATCTGTATATGCATAAACGAAAAAAATTATCATAAAAAGTGGAAAACTAAAGATGTTGGGGGTAAATTGTTTATTCATATCAACTCTTGTCTCTTCAACAATCAAAACTATAAACTAAAAAACTTTAACAGTTTTTCTTTTAGAAACACCGAGTAAGAACAAACACCAAGCAAGTCCCATCCATTTTTCTCATCAGAAATTGATCTCACGTCTCTCGGCGAAAAACTTTCCAGTGATAGCTTGATCAGGAAGCAATGCTAGCCAGACTCCAGTGTCAGCTCCATCTTCTGCTGAGATGTTCCCCGCATAACCGGTCATAGCGGTTTTAACCCAACCGGGACAAAAGCAGTTTGCATATATCTTCTCTCCTTCTGGTCTCTCAGATAGCTCTTTTGCTAGTACCCTTGTGTATGCATTCACCGCCATTTTCGATACAGAATAGTCTGTGAAAGAATGTGGCCAACCTCCTGACTCCCACGTTCCTTCTTCCACTTGCTTCAGAAACTCAGAGACCGTTTTGTCGACGATTTCCTCTGTCAGAGAGTCTACATCGATAAGTTTTGCCCTCACGGCTTCGTTTTCAAGTTTCTGTTGAAAAGTATGGAATCAGAACTTGTTGTTGCTACATAGTGTTGCAAGAAAAAAACAAAACACTAGGAGAGTAAGATATATGTACACTGTGTCGGCCTTTTAATCTACCGAGTCTTGAGGTGACATTGACGATACGAGCACCTTGAGAAGCATGTCTCATCAATGGAATCATGGCTCTGATTATGTTCTTGGTCCCATAGTAGTTTGTAGATATAACCATGTGAGAGTACTCAACAGAGTTCTCTGTTCCAATATTGTAGTTTACACCTGCATTGTTTATCTGCAACAAAAAAATACAAAAACAAAGAAAGTTTTTTTTTTCACATCATCATCATCATCAAGATCAATGTTTTTTTTTTCAAATCCATCATCAAACTTACTAAAACATCAATGGATCCGTATTTTTCTTTGACCCAATTGCAGAATTCTTGGATTGAGGAAGAGTCCAAGATATCGAGGCGGTGGAAATCGACATTGAATCCACCTTCTTGCAAGACTTTGGCCGCTTCGACGCCAACGTTCTCGTCTCTTGATGTTAGAATGACTGTTAATCCATGTCCAGCCAATTGTCTCACCATCTCGAAACCTATCCCTCTATTTGCACCTGTTACCACCGCCACGGTTTCAGAGGTCCACCACCTAATAAACAAAAGATCAAATGAATCTCCTAAATCAGATACTACAAGAAAACATGTAAGACCTGAAAATCAGATACCTGTAACATTTGTACACTTTCCAATAAACTAGTTTTACATTATGAGATATTGATGGGAGATTTTCAGATAATAAACATCAAAAATACTACAAGAAAACCTGTGGATTCCGACCAAGATTGTGTTTCTGACGACTTTCCGACAAACAGATTTGGGTCGGAATACGAGCTTGGAAAACCTGTTATGTCGGAATTTCGTCGGAGCAGTCCGAAAAATTCATTTCTCGATAAGCCGTCGGAATCGAAGGTTCTCGAAACATTTAGTTTATTGATATTTTTCTGGAAATTCGTCGAATATATTCCGAGCACTTTCCAACAAAATCAACATGAATGTCGCCGTAATTTTTCCAACGAATATTACTTAAATCGATTTTTCTCGGAAATTCACCGGAGAAGTTTCGAGAACTCACCGATGAAAAAAAAGATAACAAAATGCAATGGAAACAACAGAACTTAACAATTCCAGATGAACTTGTAGGATTAAACCTAGACGTAATTCTTTCTAATGAATAAATAAACACATAATCTGATTTCTCCAGAATAATCCTATAAACACCAAATTTCTTTTCTGGATTCGTTACGAAGAAAGGAAGACGAGATACCTCTGGTGATCGGAGTATGGAATAGTACGAAGGAGGGAGATTTCTTGGAGTCTCTTGTCTCGTTTCTCTTTTGATTTCTCTTTTGATTTCTCTTTCGATTTCTCTTTGCTTCCCACCATCTTCTTCTTCCTCCTCCTTTTCTCTCTGATTCACGATTATGATCGGAATTGCATGAGAGGATGTACGGACGCAGAGGTACGTCGTCGTTGTCATCTTCCTCTAGGAGATTCTTCTATCTCTTTTTGTGGGTCAAAGATCAATCTCCCCAATTTTTGCGCGAATTTTCTGTGGCCTCTCATTTTCAGATTCATATTGATTCCTATTTTTAGTTCCAAGTTTTTGTTTCTCTGCGAACAGTTTGGGTTTCAATACGAACCGAAAAATTGTGCATTTTGGTTTGACCCAAACTTAATAAAACCGGATGGTTTCGTCGCGGTTTAGAAATCCATACCGGGAAACTGATCGGTTTCGTTAGCTCATCCAGATTCAAACAATAGCCCGTAATGAAATTTAGATGTTTTTTTTTTTTTTTTACATACCGTTTTTTTTTTTTGAACTATTCAGCCCTATTTGGTGAATCAGGTATAAATTTTTTAAGAAGATAAAAATATTTGAAATAAAATCATATTTTAAAATTATAAACAGTTTCATCTCTTTATAAAATAATTTTTAACAATGTAACATAAATGCCATAACTAAATGGAATAATGTGTCATGTAACGTTTTGTTTTCTTTACAAAAATGTTTAAGGTTGTATGTTTATTTGAAAAAGAAAAAAAAAACCTAGCAGTCAAGTCAAGATCAGATGTGGCAATAGAATTTGTTTGTTCAATTTCTCAAAGATTTGTCAAATATCAATTTTTACACACTTGAGGAAAATTAGGAAACGAAAAAAAAAAAATTCTAATGTGGTCAGAAGAAGGCCACGACAAAAGTACGCCCAATTATGGGTCCATAAAGTATCACTTTTGTTGTTCCAATTCATTTCAATTTAACTTTGCCTTCTACATTTCGCTGTGAGAAGAAGAACCAAAAAAAACGAAAATGGCCAGCCGAAAAGCTCTGATTAACGTCCACCGGATTATCCGCTCCACCGCGGTGACTAGCCGGAACTCCGTAACTCCTGCCGCCGCAACACGAACACATCCTATTTTCCGGTACTCTTTTTTTATCCCTCCACCGAAATAATTTATTTAATGAAAGAGATCATCTTTCCGTTTGTGTTAATTCCTGAAAATTTTTGGATTCTAGGAACAGAGTTGATTTGGGGATGAGATTCTTCTCCGGGAACACCGCGAGTCCCCAGAATTTTCATATCGATCTCTCTAACGAAGAGAATAAGAGGATAACGATCAACAGGTATGGTTAATTTAATTTTTTGTATTCTTCGTTGTTTCGGAATAAATTAATATTGGTGATTGAGTTTTTTTTGGGGTTTTTTGTGATAGATTGTTGTATAGGAGCAAGCAACGAGGGTTTCTCGAACTTGATCTAGTTCTGGGAAATTGGGTTGAAGAGAATGTCAATTCCATGGACGAAAACGCTGTCAAATCCCTAATTGATGTCCTGGGTTTGGTATGATTCATTGTCTCTTTTCAGAAATTTTTTCAATTCTATGTGTTTTACTTCCATGTGGTATTTTCTCATATGAGTCTTTTCCTACGCTGCAAACCTCTTGTGTATATCTATTTGCATATTATTGAGAGTTTGAGACAGAGAGATACCTGTAATAGCAGAGTTAGAAGCTACCAACTTACTTGTATGGAGGATTCGAAACGTTATACATCTTCTTACAAGATTCTGAGGGAAGGTTGAGTTTAATAATCTGTGTGAATCGTTTAGCTAGGCTGAGGTCGTTCCAGTGATCAAAGCTCGAGTGATCCGGTTAAGAGTTGAGGAATGTTATCCTGGTTTTCGATTGTTGAATGATTTCCCTGTATTGTTTTCAGTTTTTGAGAACATACACAATTAGATGTCAAACACAATAATTTGGATTTGTAAGGAGCAGATGATGAAACCTTGATTCTGTTCATAGTGAGCTCAAAGGAGAATCAGGAATCTGTAAGGTCAATCCTTCTTGACGAAGAGAATTGTTTTGATAATAGTTTTGTTGGCTCCTTGCAGGAAAACCCTGATCTCTGGAAATGGCTAACTGGTCAGGAACAGCCTCCAGAGGCAGTGAGCTCAAATCCGGTAACCATAAACTCATAATCAAGCTTATGCTTAGATAGCTTATTTATATACATCTTCATTTGGTCACTCCAGTGATTTTAAACAAATCCTTGTTGTGATGATTAAAGGTATTCATGGCGTTGCACGAGAAAGTCATGAAGAATCTGAACAAGCATGCAGCACCAGAGACGCGTGCAGCAGCTGGAGAGCCCTGGGTCAGAGGCTGGGACGATTTCAAGAAAGGCCGTGACGCTCCCATTTCAGGAAACCAGTAAAAACACACACTTCTATGTACTAAAGTAACAAAACCTCAATCAAATACGTTCATGTAAAAGTATCTTAAATAGATACTGAAGCAAATATTACCTTTTACTGTTATTGTATGAATAAAAAGAGCCAGGTCGTGGAGGTGGGAGGTATAATGTGTTTCTGTAGTGACGATGAGGCAATTACATTGATCTGTCTTATTTGTTGAAGTTCTTGATACTAATATAAAAGTGTCAATGGATTGTAGTTTGATTCTATGAATAAATAATGTGCCGAGTCTGTAATGGAGATCTTTGAACCAATTTATGGGCTTTAGTTAGGTATTGATACACTGTGAATCTATCAAAGCTTCGGGACAAATTTGATAAAGCTAAGCCTCTTGATACTTTATTATGTTTTTGTTATAATAATAAGTACTAGTTAACTTTTCCGCGTCTTGCGCAGACTAATATAATTTCCATTTGAATGGTTGAAAATTTAATAGTTGTTTGGATTCATTTGTTTTTTATTCTTGAGTATATTTGTTTGTTAAATTTCCTTGCATTTTAATGTTGGAAGACATGATCGTGAAAAACAGTATATAATAGAAGAAAGTAAATAAAAAACATAGTAGTATCCAAATAATTTAGTTTAAATAGTTTTGAGAATTTTTGGTCACTGTTCTTGTATTTTACACATAATTTTTGAAATACCGTATGAACTTATTCGATTTTGATCACTATTTTATTTGTTTTAAACAACACAAATACCATCATTCTATTAGTTAGATATATATATATATATATATATTCTTTTTTTTAGAAATCCTTTTTTGTTAGAGTTTTCTTTTTTCAATTTCAGTTTTTTTTTGTTTTAAAACAACATTTCATTACTTTTTAAATAGATTCCATTTTTTTTTAACATTTTTGTTAAATTTTTTCTAAATTTGGAAACATAAGAAATGGTAAACACCTAAGATATATAGAAGATTCTTTTTCTTTTCTTTTTAAAAAACGTTTTTGTTTATTTTTTTCTAAATTTTGGTTTTATATATAAAAGTTTACAAACGATTTAATTTGACAGAAAAATTAAGCATTAAACCATTATAATTTAGACCGATTTGTTTTAAATTATTTTTTTTACACATCATCAATTAAGAACCAATTAAAAAATGACACGTAATTGGAAATGGGGCTAAACGGTCTTTTTGCGACCAAAACTCATTCTGGAGCTGACACATAAGCGAAAGACGGTGAAATTCGCTGTGAGCGTGACACGTAAGCAAATCACTATACAAATAAGTAGTTATTTCAAAACCATAAGAATTTGAAAAAGACTTTTTTAAAAAAAATCATCGACATAATATATGTTAATACTTGTTTTTAAATAAAATAATATAAGTTTACGTGAGTACTCCATGAATTTTTGGTTAGAATGAAAAATAAAAAAGAGGTTTAACAATTGTGAAAGTTGTGATTAAAAACTTGAGAAGTGGCTTATATTTATAATAAACCATAAGAAATTTTTGCCTAGATTTTTGTTAACATTTTAGTTAGTTTTTTTTATTATTTCGAAGATATTAGGAATGATAAATTTCTTTTTTTAATTTATTTTTGTAAAGACGTTTTTGAAGATATTAGAAATGGAATTTTTTCTTTTTAATTTATTTTTATAAATTGAAGATATTAGAAATAGAATTATTTCGAAGATTTGAAGATATTAGAAATGGAAATTTTTTTTGTCTTTTTTATTTTTTTTTATAAAAACGTTTTTGAAGATATTAGAAATGGAAATATTTTTTTTGATCTAAACGTTTTTGAAGACATTATAAATGGTAAATTCCTTTTTTTTCATTAAAATTTTTTTTTTCAAAATTTTGGTTTAATCTTATATTAGAAACGGTTTTTTTGACAGCGAAATTAAGCATCAAACCACAATAATTTAGTTCAGTTTGTTTTAAGTTGTTTTTTACACGTCATCACATGAAAACCAATCAAAAATTGATACGTAATTGCAAAATGGGGCTAAACGGTCTATTTGCGGCCGAAACTCATTCTGGAGCTGACACATAAGCGGAAAGCTGTGAAACTCGCTGTGAGCGCGACACGTAAGCAAATCACTACACAAATAAGTATATAGATAGTTTATTATAAAGATAAATATAAAGACGAAAATTTTATACTTCAAAGAGAAAGTGATAAAAATGAGAAAGAGATGAGAATGTATATGATTTATGAAATGAGATGTTGTTGTGTTTACTACAATCGAAAGATTTTTTTGTATATATAAAGTATATATAGAAGTAAAAAGTTTGAGTTATTATGTGTAAATAGTGATGATGGGCTCCATAAATTTTATCCACGTTTTTCGTTTTATCGCCACAAACTCTGATTTTGGAGATTGCTTACTTTTGCTGAGTTTTGTAACACTTCCCCTTGGAGACCGACTTTACTATTTCTTCTTTTGCGTTTTGTCTTTGTTGTCTCGTTAAAAACCATAGGAATGTAAAAAGAGTACAACTACGCAAGCTCCCGCTCGAATGACTAAATTTTATTCTGTAAGTCTCGTTGATGACACATTTCAAAATTATGAACATGCTTTTCAGAATATAGTGATAGGTAATGATTTCGTGAAGAGGTCTGTTGCATTTTTGCATGATCAGACATATCTTACTTCAATTTCTTTATTCTTCTCGAGCTTTTGAGTGTATGAGAAGAACTTTGGAGGGATATGTTTGGTTCTATCACTTTTGATATCACCTTCTTGTTTGGGCAACACATGCGGAGTTATCTTCATATAAAATAGTTGACTCCATATTTACGCAAATTCCACTGCTTGATTGGATATGCTAACTTATTGATCTCAGCCATACACATTCTCTACTTGCTTCATGGATCGATGATTTCAGCATGATTCGAATAAGTGGCCACGAGCGTCTGCTTCTGAGAACTCCAAGATATAGCAGTGCCTCCGATCATAAACATATATCATGTTTGTGATCGGGCTTTATGTGGATCCGATAAATATCTTGCATCTGAAAACTAAACATTTGTTTTTAAATTTTTAGGATAGACCAAACCTAAATCAATAGTTCATTGGAGATGACGGAAGACATGCTTGATCTCATTCCAATGTCTTCGTATAGGGGACGAGCTGAATCTTGCCAAAAGATTAACAGAAAATGATATGTCGAGTCGTGTACAATTGGCTAGGTACATAAGGGCTCCAATTGCACTTAGGTATGGTACTTCAGGACCAATTCCTTCATTTTTCTCATGTGGTCGAAATGGATCATTTTCAACCTTAAGTGATCTAACGACCATAGGAGTACTTAAAGGAGTTGCCTTATCCATGTTAAAGCGTCTTAACACTCTTTTCGTATATATGGATTGATGCACAAATATACCCTTTTCGGAATGCTCAATTTGTAAGCTGATAACACCGTATTTTGACCACTTTTATGGATCGTTTTGAAATACTTTTTCTATATTTTTAATTGCTTTTAAGTACTTTTATTACGTTTTTCTAGTATTTGTAGTTCCAAGACTCTTTTCAAGAAACTTAGGGAAAAGCTTAACAAAATGGATAGAAGACCAGATTTCAGCTCAGAGTCAAACCGTCAGAAGTTTACCCCCGATTGAAGGCCTTCTCACGTCTGATCCAGCTCAAATTTGGAGATCTTAAAGATGGAAGTATCAGCTTTCCAGCACACTTTACAGCTTGCCAATCCAACGGTTCAATCAAAAGATACGCGAAGAGCAAGATGTCTCGTAAACCAGCCGGCAAGCGTTTCCACCCGCGGCCAATAGGCCATTTCCCACGGTCACAAGCTCCCCGACCGTGGCCAGCCATCCATTCCCCGCGGTCACGCACTTTCCGACCACGGCCAGCCAACTCCGAACCCGAAGGCCCATTTCTGAAGCCCGTATCATTTTCCTAGCCTCAATTCCGGAACCCTAGACACCAGAGAGTATTGGAGACTATAAATACATATCATTTAGGTCGTTTTTAAAGAGAGAAGAAGAGAGACGAAATACTTTACAGAAATTTTACGTTAAGCTTTGTTTTTAGGTTTTAGGGAGAGAGAGATCTATCTCTTGAACCCTTGTTCTTTCTTTTTCAATTTCGGTTTCTGTACTACTTTTTAATACTATGTTTTTGATTTCGTTCATCATGTCTGAGTAGTTTTATTGTTGGGTCTAAGGGATTTTCGATGGGGATATATATGTTCGATGAGGATTCCATGAGCTTTTGAGCCGAATCTTATAACTTTTTCTTCTGAATTCGTTTTTACTGCATGAGAGTAGCGTCATGAACTACAATCTGATCCAGATGCTTGGTGACACGAAAGTGTTCATCCGGTGTCAGATCTAGTTTGGAGAGAAAAACAAACATAGGAGTGGAAACCTACCTATGGGCGATTTGTGAATGCTAACGAGTCTTAAACATAATGCACCTCTTCTTTTCCAGGGCCAGAGTGGAAACCTACTGGTCAGGGTTGAGAGAGATAGTTGTCTATGATCACGACAGTGGCGTATTCATACATCCGTGACTTCAGTTCTAAAAGTTTAAGCTAAGATCTTATCAAATTTACTCTCTAGCAATGTTTTGAATCGTTCATACCCCTGAGAAAACTTCCATGAACCCCAACGCTTTCTTTCTTATAGATTTACACCTATTTTCATTCAAGCTTTAGTCTAGTATCTTTACTCTTTCAATCGATTTTCATACAAGCAATTAGGTCTAGCCGTTTTCTCGTTTTTACTTGTTTTCGTTAAGTTTAGTTATTAGGTCATTTTAATTCCTGTATTTTCTCTTTAGGATTCGTTTTTACGTTTTAAACACACCACCAAAACCCTCACAAAACTCGCCTGGTTCTAGACTTCCTTACTTTATATTTCTTTCGAAGGCTTTTGCAGGAAAGATCGTCCTTCCCTGTGGATTCGATCCCTAAGTACTACAATCGATCAGCTGTGCACTTGCGGCTATTGATTTCATTTAGGGTAAAACTTGACAACCCTCAACACACACCACATCATAAGCCAAGACAATATTTTGTCTGTCCGAGATCTTTTATCTCAAATTCTCCTTTTAGATAATTTGATGCATTTTGTATTTCCCCTTGAGTTCCGATAATATTCAGATCATCAACATATACCGCGATAATTACAAATCCGGATGTCGTTTTCTTGATGAAAACGCATGGGCATATAGGATTGTTCACATATCCTTCTTTGGTTGAATGTTCACTGAGACAATTGTACCACATACATCCAGATTGTTTTAGCCCATACAATAATCTTTGTAATTTTATTGAACATAACTCTTTGGGTTTAGAATTTACCGCTGCTAGCATCTTAAATCCGTTGGGGATTCTCATATAGATATCC